ACATCGAGCAAGACGCTGTCACCAGGCTCCCTGCCAGCGGCTGGGATGGGGAGGGCCGGGGTGGGCTGCGGTTCCCCTTCCCCAGGGAGGGTGAGATGGGAGGTGCTGCCGTGGGGTACGTACACCCTGTGCTCTGCGGTGCAGTGGGAATGACCCCCCAGGAGACCTGAGCCCACCTGTGCTGTGGATGGGAGCTGGTCTAGCTCCCCTCCTCTTGCCCCTCTTCCCACCTTTTGGGAGTCCCTGTCTGAATTTGCTGGGGCTCCTGACCACAAAGCCAGCCCCTTCCCCATCAGCTGTTGGGTTTGGGCACACTTGAGCTCATCCTGGCCAGACCTCCAAGAGCTGCAGCCTTGCCTGTGAGCGGGGGCAAGGCTTTCAGCACCAACATGGCCCCCTGCCTGCCCTGCCTACTGGGGTTTTCTGGCTGGGTGCTGACATGCTGTTCCCTTGCCCCCAGGAGGGAATATGACTTTGAGGATGACTGTGACAGCCTCACGTGGGAGGAGACGGAAGAAACGCTGCTCCTCTGGGAGGACTTCTCTGGATACGCCATTGCGGCCGCAGAGGTGCAGGGGGAGGTAACGGTGGTGTCAGGTCCCCTCGGGGATCCAGCCCTGGGTTGAGACACTCGGTCCTGCCTGAGCCTGGGAAGATGCTCCCTCAAAGACCAGACTTCAGCCCCTCCATCCCTTGCAGGCCTGTACAGTCGCTTCCCCTCTACACCCTATCTTTTCTACGTGAATATGTTACCACATCCTTGTGAAGGTCTCCTTGTTAGACAGACCGGGGACCTGTAGCCTGAAAGATGTGCTGAGGGCATGGTCCACATGTGTCAGGAGAGCCACAGCCCTCCCAGAAGAGGAGACCTCCTCTGGCTGGTCTGGTCTCTAGTGGTCCCTTGCTTGGGCTCTCCAGTCCGCCTGCCCACTGTGCAGCAGCACTGCCCAAACAGAGGCCTCAATGTCTGGCTAAAGCCCTCGCCATCCCACATCTTTGGCCCCTGGCAGTCCCCTGGGGATGTGTTGTGCGTGGGGATGGTCTGTGCCCTCCAAACCTGTGCGTTGCTGGGCTTGGTCTGGGCTGACGTATGCTCGCTGCCCAGCGTGGCGAGTCCTGGGTCTCTCTACCCAGTGTTGGCAGGACTGACTCGTGCCTGATTTATACTGCATCACTTATATTTCTTCCTCTTTTCCCAGTGCTGCCAGTTCTTTCTCTGATTTCTCTCTCTCTTGCCTTTGGTTCCTCATGTTGAACGCCTCCCTGCCTCTAAACATGGCATCTGCTCTCCCCAACAGCAGGACGACAGCCTGGAGAAGGTGATCAAGGACACAGAGTCGCTGTTCAAGAGCCGTGAAAAGGAGTACCAGGAAACCATCGACCAAATAGAGGTGAGAGGAGGGGGAAGTGGGGAGAACATGGCACAAAAGGGGGTGAAATGTGGGGACTGGGTCCCCAGGGGAGGGAGACACCGTGCTGGAGCAAGTGGTTGGTAATGGGGGGCAGCAGCCTCGGGTCTGGCCGTGCCCCCTGCCCTGCACCGCACCGTGCCCCAGGCTCATCTCTGCACCGTTTCCCTTGTGCAGCTGGAGCTGGCCACAGCCAAGAACGACATGAACCGGCACCTGCACGAGTACATGGAAATGTGCAGCATGAAGCGAGGCTTGGACGTGCAGATGGAGACTTGCCGGCGGCTCATCACCCAGTCTGGGGACAGGTGAGCTTCAGCGGGAGAGCTGGGATACCTGTGCTCTGGGCAAGAACTGGAACCAGGGTGGTGGCGAGTGGGAATTGAGGCACGGAGTAGTGCTCCTGCCCTGCCCTGGTGTGGCATGGGATGGAAATGTGCAGCATGAAGCGAGGCTTGGACGTGCAGATGGAGACTTGCCGGCGGCTCATCACCCAGTCTGGGGACAGGTGAGCTTCAGCGGGAGAGCTGGGATACCTGTGCTCTGGGCAAGAACTGGAACCAGGGTGGTGGCGAGTGGGAATTGAGGCACGGAGTAGTGCTCCTGCCCTGCCCTGGTGTGGCATGGGGAGAGGGCAGTTCCCAGAGGCTGTTGGACTCCTGGAGACCAGCCTGCACACAGGTGGTGGTGCCACTTCTGCAGAAGGTGGGCTGCACGCAGGAGTCAGTTTTGACGGGTGAAGCCAGACACCCCTGATGGAGAGAGGAGCCACCATTGTGCAGGGACATCATGTAGGTCCCCAGAGGCGTGTGGAGCCAGGGTGGCTCCAGGCTGGGGACCTCTGTGGTGGGTTTTCGCTGACCCCTAGCCTCACATGCCTTGGCAGGTCCTGCTCTGGGCAGGCCCCTCCAGCATCTCCCCCAGCCCTGCATCCTGCTCTGGGCTTCTCGGTCAGTGTCCTCTGGGACACCCTCCCCAGTAGCCAGGGATTCCCACAGACCCACGCATGCCCCAGGGGAGTGAGAGGGGCACTTCAGCTTCTCTCCTCCTTGCTCTGGTGCCCCCTACCCACACCAAACTGGGTCCTTTCCCTCCCCCTGGGTGATGCTGTGACCGCTGTCCTTTACTCTTCTCTGCAGAAAGTCTCCTGCCTTCACCCCAGCCTCCAACAGCGAGTCAGCCCCGAATGAGGAGAGCGAGGAGTCCGACCGCGACCCCCCCAGTGACGCTTCCATCAGATAATGAGGGGAGGCCCCACTCCCTCGGACCCCCTTCCTGGCACGGGGGTGCCCAAGCTGCACCTGGGAGAGACTGTCGGGAACGTGGAGCCACCGGTAAACATCTGTTGCCCAGGCTCACTCCCATTTTGGGGTGCTTGGCAGATCCTGCACCCCCCTGCCACCGGATGTCTTGCAAATGGGAATAGCTAGATAGACCTGAGGGCCCTCGCCTGGGCCGCTCAGCCTCCAGCCCCTTCTCTATTCCCTTCCCCTGCTTTGGTTAAACCACGGTTTGAGCAGGGAGGCTCCAAACCTGCCACAGCGGT